CTTTTCTTCCACTCTTAGCGCGTCGGTACAACAAATTTGACCTTTCACCAATAGAATAACTTTAATATAAACCATTACTGATATCAGATATCAACCATCAGATATCAACCAAATAGCCCGCATGAGCTTGCAAAACATTGGCTGTCGCATTTCATCGAAGAGAGAGAGAGAGAGAGAAAGATCCTGAGGATATATACCTCACTATTCTCTCTTCTCTCTTTATTCCATACTTCCTCTCAGCCATCTATCCAGCAGTTTTCGTTTGTTTTTCAGATCGTTGTTATTTTTTCAGTGCTAATTTCCCTTCTTTTCTCCTCTTTCTCTCTTTCAAATGACTCATTCTAAATGATCTGACCGCGCATTTACGCAATGCAACGTACGTTTTACTCTCATGACGCTGTTTACGTCTACTTTTGTTGTGTATTAGTTAATATATGTTTTATATGCTAACAACACTCCTCCATCTTAACGACAGCAAAAGTTTGCACAACCATGATAAATAATTTCACTGAAGGATGGGGAAGATGGAAATGCTCTTTAAACTGAGGCTGAGTTATCGAGCACTAACTGTCTCTGCTCTCACTCACTCTCGCCTTTTACGTTGTTTTTCTTTCATTTCTCTTTTCAAAAATTTCAATTCTTTAAATTGCGTCCATCCCTCTCTCCATGTGCTTTTTTTTTTGCATCAAAAAAGTGATTGCATTGTACGATGATGGATGGTGACATATGCTACCTTTATTAACCTTTATTAACCTTTAATCTGGCAAAAGTGCCCAGCCAGCATGAGAATGATACTGTATTCAGTAGGTGGCAAACTTAAAATTCAAATTTGCATTGGCAAACTAAATCGATATACTCAAATTTAAAAGGTGGAGAATTTCTCGGGAATTGCTTCGTTCGTATTTTGTGGTTGGCCGATAATGCTCATTGAGTGCTTTGTTACCTTCCAAGTAAGCAGCTATCATTGGCTCTCTTTTCAGGTCTCAGTGTAACTAAATTATGGGACCGAGAACACTCATCAAAGTAACACTTGTCGGTTCAGGCAATTGGTTCGTTCATTTTCTCTTAGCAAAGAGTTGAATAGATGAAATTTTTGAAGCGAAGATTTTGAAATTAAAATAATGTAATTGTATTAAAATAATAATAAATAATATAATTTCAGGATTTCAGCTTTACTGAAATAATATTAGGATTTAGCTTTACTGTGTCCAATATTGAAAAACGATTTGTTTGATTTCTCTTGCTTTAGGGGCTCAGCAATTTCCCTTATCATTGGGAAAAATGTGCAGAAGTATAATGATGTGTTTGATCAGAAAATACGCATGTGGGTTTATGAAGAGGTGATCGATGGGATGAAACTTACTGAAGTTATCAATACACAACATGAGAATATCAAATATTTACCAGGGAAAAAGCTTCCACCAAATGTGGTTCGTTATTTTGATTCTTTCTGTTTTCTTCTCTTATATACTTCCACATTCAGACGCCACATACGGAAATAAAATTATCAATCATTTCTGCAAATTTTTCCTTTTTGCTGTGAAATGTGATTGACGCTTAGTGTTGATTAATGAGTTTTCGATTTTCGAGCACTGTCAACAATGAAGTAGTTGAAAGAACTTTTTTTTTCCTATAACTTTACCTAATTGTACGCCCATCATTAAACGTCAGCAAGTGCTACTGCAAGAATTTTAGTTGTGAAACTGCTCTTTCGTCAAACTTGTTCTGAAATTTACATGATTTGCAAGAAACAATTAATCAAACTAATTTACAGGAAGCAATTAATAAAACTAATTTGCAGGTGGCTATACCGGACTTATTGACAGCTTGCAAAGACAGTGATATACTTATATTTGTAATCCCTCATCAGTTTGTGGAAAATGTTTGCCACCAGTTGAAAGGTCATCTAAAAGAAGGTGTTCTTGTAGTTTCACTTATAAAGGTTGTTTTATTCATCATATGTTAGTAAAACGTTGCATATGTAATCAGGAAAAGTCTCATTGTGTCAAATTACTTAGATTTCAGAGCTTGCCAAAAAATTGAAGATATTAGGGATTCCAATTGAAATTAAGGAATATCTCAAAATTTTCAGTTCAGAGTTGAATTTGTCATGCAGAACAGCAAAATTAAAACCAATAGTGTGTTTTTCAGGGTTTCATGATTCAGAAGAAGAAGGGTGGGATTCGTTTGGTTACTGAAGAAATTCGGGAATTGTTGAATGTTGATACGGCTGTTCTGATGGGTGCAAATTTGGCTCCCGAAGTAGCAAATGAAGATTTTTGTGAGGCCACTATTGGTGGGTGTAGATTTGAATCTCCTGAAATACTGTTTTGGATTTATAAATATGTGTCATTAAATAAATCGTAATGTGATTTACCCGTAATGTAATACATATTCCTCTACATACTTGCAAAAACTGCATGCATTGGCCATTTTCTATATTAAGAATATTTAGGTTGTTTGATAATTGTTATTCACTTTGTTTTTTAATAATTAATTTAATAATTATAGGCTGTAAAGATCAAGGGGATAGATGGTCTATACTACAAAGATTGTTTGATACGGACAATTTTAAAATTGCTCTGACGGAAGATGCAAATACCGTTGAGTTGTGTGGTGGCCTCAAAGTTAGTAGTTTTGTTTTATGTTCATAATAAACATGCAAATAAGATTTTTTCTATCTGACTTTGGAACTGTATTATTTTGTACTTTTTGTTTCTTGCAGAATATTGTGGCGTGTGCTGCAGGCTTTGCTGATGGTCTTGGCTATGGAAGTAATACAAAATCAGCTATTATTCGGCTGGGACTTATGGAAATTACTATCGTAATCACTAATTTATTAAGATTAATCGCCGAGTTTTTTCGAATATTTAGATTGACAACAGTCGGATGAACTTAAGCATCAAAATCTTATCTCAGAATGAATGATAATATAAAAACTTTTTCTCGGAAGAATTCGAAAATTGGTAACCCCTGTACATTGCAGTTTGTCGAACTGTTTTACCATGGCTCGAATATTCGGACATTTTTTGAAAGCTGTGGTGTGGCTGATCTCATAGCAACATGTAGTGCCGGCAGAAACCGTAAAATATGCGAAGCTTTTGTTAAGACAGGAAAAGTGAGTGAGTTGAAAGTATTGGACCCTTCCAAATCATATATGTTTAAGTATTTTTTTCTAATTTAGTCATTTTTCTCGATTTTTGTTACCAAATCCATTTTGTTCCAAAAGTACATTATGGTTGACATTTCAAGAAATTATATATATATATATACGTAATGAAGAACAGAGCATTCAGTAAATAGGATATTACCAAAACGTGGTATCGTTGAATTTGAATTACTGTAGTTCATTTTATATTGCAATTCATTCAGCTTTATTCATTTTGTTCTGAATTTTTAATTATTTTATTGTTTTAATTTCCTTGTTTTTTGGATTAGAATAGATAAAATCGTACCTTAGCATATCGAAATTTTTTGAGTTTTAATTCTGTTTTTATAATTGTCTCTTTAGTCAATCAAAGAATTGGAACAGGAGATGTTGAATGGACAAAGTGCTCAGGGTCCTTTGACAGCTGAAGAAGTCTATCTTATGTTAAAGAAACACAACATGATTTCAAGGTAATGATTCCTTAAATAGCTTAACTAGGATAACTACAAGTGCAACGGCTTTTTCATGATTAGAAAAAAGTTAGAGATTGATGAATGATTCTACATAATTCAGGACAGTTCTGCTGTGATTTCTACTATGCTAAAAAAGGTTTTGAAAGATTATCTCAATCTCACTGTGAGAAAATTAAGCATTTTTTGAGTTAGATAACTAAACTCTTAAGGATATAAATCCTCACTCAGCGCGACATCTGCTGTTGCTAATATTTATTCTCAGTTATCCTGCCTATCTCGTATTTATATTTGTGTGTTTCTTTTCAGATTTCCTCTATTCTCGGCTGTACATCAGATATGTCAAGGACAGATTTCCCCAGATCATCTAGTATTCCATCTTCGTGAATCTCAAAGCTCGAATTGAAAAGCCAGCGGATTTTTAAAATGTTTGTTCTGTCACTGCAGTCTGAGAAAGAAGCAAATCTAACTTTTCTATCTCCTTTTTCTCCAAGTTTTCGATGCTAATCTCTCAGAATCTCCGTATTTTATGTCCCCATTACTAATATCTACGTATTTTTATAAGTTCCAGAAATTTATTTTGGCGATTTTGATGCATTCCATTCAGTAATTTATCCATTTTGAATGGAGTTTTAGGAACAAAAAAAAACTTTTATTGGGGATTTGCTTTTTTCAAGAATTACTGCTGATCACTTGTTGAGAGCGGGAATATTAACTCAATTTTTTTTATTGTGACTTTTTCTGCGTCTCGAGGTTCTGTTTTTCACCTAAAAACTAAAACAAAATTCTCTGTCCAGTATATGTTGAACCGGTGCTAACTTTCATACAAAATGATAGAACCTCCATGAAGTTTTATTTTTAATTTGTATTCTCTGTAATTTTTTTGTTTACTATTTATTTTTTGACAAAACTAAGAGAGTCAAATGCTGTAACCTGCTTTATCATGAACAATAACAATCAGTATTGATCTAAATGTTAGAAATATTAGTATCGATTTAGCATGTTAGCGAAATATTTTTACTTTGATAATTTTCATTTAGCTTATTATTTTCTTCTTTTTTCAAATAAAAGGGACTATAATATAGTTGAGCTTATTATTTTCTCCTTTTTTTCAAAAAAAAGGACTATAATAGACTAAGGTATATAGGACTAAGGTTGCTAACTTAGATAAAAATGTATTTTTATAGATAATCTAATGCATTGAATAGTTTTGAACTACATTTATCGTGACTAATGGGCACATATGAGGATGTTTTTTGGCTAAGAATTTGAATACTTTTGAAACGTGTTGTTTGGCTGAATACAAAATAGCTTATTTCACTATGCTGTTTTAAAGCCATGCATAAATCCAAAATCGTATTATTAACAAAAAGTAATTTATGCAGACATTGATGACAAATAGTGGAGATTTGGATGTATCGCATAGCAATGGACAACATATTTCTTGCTTTTTAAAACCCTGTTTATACATTAAAACTTAGTCTTGCTAGGTGAAGAGAATATTTCACGCATTATTGTGTTATGTAAATTTCAATAGCAGTTTTGATATAGAGATAATGCCACTTCCAGGCAGAATTCTTTTGATGAGAGAGGAATTATATTAATTGCTTCAAATTCCATCATGTTACTTTGTTACTTTCACACCATCTAAAATTGATTAACATCCATTATCCGGAAAAATTAATAGAAAAAGTAAGGCGTAAGCGATTGAGAGAAGTAATGACAGATATATGAGAAAAGCAAACTTCACATTGTATAAATGTATCAAGTCAGTTAATTACTTAATTATTGTCGTATTAAAGATGTCGACGATATATGTGACCAAACTGCTTGAAAGATGGCTGCAGATGCAGAAATAACCTGCAAATTCCCATATTTGAAGTGAACTAAATCAAATTTTAAGCAAGCATTTGGAGTTGCGATAAATCAAAGTGGCCTAAGTCAGATAAAAGTTTGGTCTGAGATGTGTCAAATGAGTTTGCTCAGTCAAATTCATTGTTGAAACATTGATAATAAATGGAGATTTTGGGAGTGTTGTTTGTTAAAATGAGGGAAGAAGCAAAAAGGTCTTAAATCTATAATGACTACTAAATTTGAATTTGCATCAATTGTTACGACCACAAGTTTTCATTCAACTGGATTGAGAAATTATGATGAATTCATGCCCGATTTACAATCTTTTCAATCCATTTACAAATTAAATTCATCTCATTTACTCATCTTTTATATTAAATCTCTCGGTTCTGCCATATTCCAATATTTATTGTTACTTTCATTACTATCTTACCTTCCTCTCAGTTCCCACAAAATTACGCACCGATAGCTGAAAATGATACAAATTGCCAGCCAACTTCACCGATATCAGCCAGCTATTAGAAGTGACGGATGGATGATGATTTTGAACAATATCTGATTTCTACCTAGCAATTTGGAAAATTTAATTCCGACTTTCTTTCTTATTCATTTATGCTACAATATACTCTTCTGCTGGTAATATCACTGTTAGTCAGACTTGTAGCACACAAATAATAGGTCATGCTCTATTTTAGCAAGGTCATCATGCTCTATTTTCAAAACATGAATATTTCAAAAGATTGCGAAAGACATATTCCATCTTAACTTTCTATAATTTTACATAACATTATAATTTGCTATGCCATAAAACGATCCATTTATTGTAAACAAAAAACAAAAGTTTTTTTTGCTACTAAAATCTTTAATTTATTTTGTTAATAAATTAAAGATAATATTGCGCTTTGTAACACTGTGATTGTGTGTGTGTGTGTGTGTGTGTGTACGTGTGTGTGTG